GGGGAGGTTTTTCGAAGCTCCTCGACGCTAGACGGACTGTAACCGAGGTCCCCGGTGGGAGGATCGCAGCCCCTTAGAGCTGTCCGTACATCTTAGGGGGCCGTGCCGAGCAGTGAAGAGAGAGGAAGAGCTAGCTCGTGTGGTGATGTGTGGGGGGAGAGGCTCGGAGATGCTCGGTGCGGGCAGCGCGCCACCTCCAAACCCGCCACCGCCGCCCGCCGCGCCGCCCCCGCCCCCGCCGCCGCCGCCGTACGCATACCCGCCGCCGCCGTACCCCGGCTGAGGCGGCGGCGGAGGCGCGGCCGGCTCCGCCGCCTTGAAGCCCTCTGCGCCCCACACCGACCGCACCCCGGACACGTTGAGCCCAGAGCCGAGCGGCGCCGCCACTGGAGCCCCGTTTGTCGGCGCAGCGGCGGGCGGCGGCGCCAGGATCTGCGACGGCGCCTGCTGCTTTTCATACTCGTCGAACCGCAGGCCGTGCCCGCCTCCGCCGCCTCCGCCGCCGTGCGCGCCGCCGGCGGCAGAGATGGACCCACCGACGTCCAGCTCGTCTGGCCGCTCGCCTGATCTCGAGGTCATCTCGAGGTCATCTCGAGGTCATCTCGGGGTCATCTCGAGGTCATCTCGAGGTCATCTCGAGGTCATCTCGAGGTCATCTCGGGGTCATCTCGAGGTCATCTCGGGCCATCTCGAGGTCATCTCGGGCTGCATCTCGAGGTCATCTCGGGCTGCATCTCGCTGTATCTCGGGCTGCATCTCGCTGTATCTCGCCTGGCGCGAGGTAGGGCTGCGCCCCGCGGCTGAGCGCCTACCACACCGCCCACGGGACTGAACCCGCACTGGGTTTGATACGATGGAGGTAGGGTGGGGCTGAGCGCCTCGGCTACGTACGCGTCAAGGAAGCCGAGGGCGGGGTCCACCTAAGGTGAGGTGGAGTAAGGGAAACTTCTCCACACACACGAGGTGGTGGGGCAAGGGGGGGCGACCCTCGCATCTCCACGTCTAACGACAGGAGCCCCACGGCATTCAAAGTGCAAGGCCCGGTGCGCGTGGGTGAGGTGTGTGTGGTGTGAGTGTGTGTGGTGTGAGTGAGTGTGGTGTGTGTGCGTGCGTGCGTGCGTGCGTGCGTGCGTGCGTGCGTGTGTGTGTGTGTGTGTGTGTGTGTGTGTGTGTGCGTGTGCGTGTGTGCGTGTGTGTGTGTGTGTGTGTGTGTGTGTGTGTGTGTGTGTGTGTGCGTGTGCGTGTGCGTGTGTGCGTGTGTGCGTGCGTGTGCGTGTGTGTGTGTGTCCACCTCGAGGTCCTCGCAGGAGGCGTCCGTCGGCAGCGCGGCGTGCATGGTCCCCACCTCGGCCGCGAGCCCCTCAAGCTCGGAGCAGTACTTGGACAGCAGCACCTGGCTCGACTGCTTGTACTTGCCACACACCTCCGCCACCTGCGCCGGCATCGCCCCCAGCTGCGCGACCAGCTTTGTGATGGCCACGACCACCCAGCAGCGCGTCGACGGCGCGTCGAACTGCCTCTCGACGGCGTCGACCTGTTCACAGCAAGAGGTGTGAAGAGACGCTGTTCACAGCGCGTCGAACTGCCCCTCGACGGCGTCGACCAGCTTGTCGACCACATCCTCGAGCGCCTGCGCCGTACATTGCGCCGAGGGGTCGGGCCGGGAGGACACGTGGTGTGGCGTGGTGTGGTGTGGTGTGGCGTGGTATCGCACGGCGGAGTGCGTCTCCTCTCGAGCGCTGGCGGGGAGACGAGACTACGTCTCCGGCTCGCGCGCCACTCCGCCGCCAATGAGGTAGCCGTACTCCCCGAGCACCCAGCAGATGACGCAGACGAGGATGTCGGGGAGGATCGGCCGGTCGAGCATCGAGTAGTAGGTCGTTGCGGCGAAGCGGCGGAGCGCCATGTCCGCCTCGTCGTCCTCTCCGGACCCCTCGGCAATCAGCCGCATCAAGTTGTGGGCCACGTCCGGCCGCACGAGCTCGCCGCCGAGCTCGAAGACGCCTAATTAATTCGTTGATTAATTAGTTAATGACTCAAAATTAATTAATTAGCTCGCCGCCGAGCTCAAAGACGCCGTTCATCGTCCTGATGAACCACGAGTTGTCTGGCGCGTACCTGGCGCGGGGGAGATGGCGGGAGATGGCGGGAGATGGCGGGGGAGATGGCGGGGGATGGCGGGAGATGGCGGGGAGATGGGGGAGATGGCGGGAGATGGCGGGGGAGATGGCGGGA